GTGTACCCGCACATCTGACTCAGTCCAGTTCAGAGGGTGTGACCTTGTTGACGAGTGCACGGCTGCAGCTGTCCTCTGATACGGAAATAAGCGTTGATAGCTCCACGTAGTTTGGGCGCTGCTTGCATGTGGGGTTGCCTGCTCCGGGGCCTCCCTGCCTTTGGTGGGCGAGAGGCCTGGGGAGGTCGAATAAAAGCTGCTGTCCGGAGACGCAGCTGGTTTCGTCGGCCTGCTTTCGGGGGCACAGAGGGATATGACCACAATCGGCTTGGTCATGAGTTTGAGGTCGTCTGGTTTGGTGCCCGGCGGAAGCCTGTTTCGTGCTTCCACTCCTGACCTGTTATGACCAAGCTTACGCGCGTCTAGAGGACGATCCTCAGATAGGCGCCTGATTATTGGGTTAGCCTTTTGAATGCTGTCAGCCCGCTCCAAGATGTCCTGTACGTCGGGCGAGGAAGAAAGAGTGACTAGAAGTCCAAGAGTTCGCCTACTTCCCTTCTGGCGTAGCCATTCTGCGTGCAGCGATTTATTAGGCTTGCTGAGGATCGACCATGCCAGCTTCGCTGGGGTGATTTTTTCCGGAGAATGACCCTCAGCTTATCAGTCTGTTTTTCGTTAGGTGCCTGTCCACTAGAGACACTGTGGCGGATTTTATAGCCGCGTCAGAAAGTTGTATGACTTTCTTCGCAGCCATGGGGCCCGGTTTGGATGTCGCGCGGTATTGGTTCAGCGAGGAATGATCCTTGTCAACTTTCGTCCATGTCCCTGCATTCTTAGCGCCTGAGCTGTGGCGGAATAGCCGCGTCAGAAAGTTGTATGACTTTCTTCGCAGCCATGGGGCCCGGTTTGGATGTCGCGCGGTATTGGTTCAGCGAGCGAGGATCCTTGTCAACTTTCGTCCATGTCCCTGCATTCTTAGCGCCTGAGTCCTCCAGTGCCTTTGAAAGACGCTCTAATTTCGCGTTGAGTATACCGATTAAAGCGGAAAACTGGCAGCGGTCTTTCTGAATCTGCTTTGGGAATTGGGTATCGTTTCGGGGGAAAGAAACTTCCTCCACACTGGCAAACAATTTACACTTGGTGTTTCGTCACTCATTCAACGAAGTCTGTCTCCCCTCTGCTTGGAAGGAAGCAATTGTCACGCCAATCTAAAAAACTTGTGACCGACTGTCGCCTGGCAGCTATAGGCCTATAAGCCTCTCGGATGCCATATTTTTCGACTTCTCAAAAGCATTTTGATAGGGTCCCCACGTCCCGCTGCTCCACAAACTCGAGTCTTACGGGATTCAAGGGAAAATCCATCGCTGGATCAAGGCGTTCCTATCCGACCGATCATTCCGAGATAGAAAAAGCTCAACCTATTCCTCTCCAGCGCCGGTCTCCATTGGGGTTCCTCAAGGCTCCGTCTGGGGACCACTCCTGTTTCTGATCTACGTCAACGACCTCCCAGATATTCTTGCGAGTCCATGTTTACTTTTTGCGGACGACCTGAAATCCTGGAGTTCCAATGCCAGTGCCCTCCAAATGGATGTAGACGCTGCAAAGCAGTGGTCGTTGGACTGGCACCTTCCTCTGAATGATGAAAAGTTGTCCATATGTCGTTTGGAGGGGATTCAGCGGATGCCTTTGTTATGCATGGTGAAAAGGGACCAGAAAACATCATGAGGATAGATGCCAAAACGGATTCGGGCATCTGGGTCTCCTCAAACTTGTCCTTCTCACTACACCATGAGAAATCGGCCCAAAAGGCATTCGCCATTTTACGGATGATCCGACGCACCTTCTCCCGTATTACTCGAATGGACTTCCAAATACTCTATGGGGCCTAAGTCAGACCGCTCCTGGAGTACGTCAACCACGTTGTCTACTCAGGACGTACAAAAGACGTTACCC